AGGGTTTAAAAGTTTTGATAGCCCAGGAAATTCGCTTCTCGTTTACTATGCTGTTTACCAATTGCATTGTTGGGGGAGAAGTCTGAACTACTGCTATCAGAGCAACCTAGAACCTAGAAGTTAATCAGTAGGTCTAAAGATTAATAAGAATGAAAATGAGGGAGTTTTTGCTAGCACTTTCCCAACCTAGAGGCGCCGGGTGCGCTTACATTTCCTAATCGAAGAAGAAGATAATGGAAACTTGATTGCTTGTTTTGCCGGCTCTAAAAAGTCACTTGGCCTGGCCCCAAACTCAACGATCTCAGAATGTACTAGAGCTAGAATAACCAAACTCGGTATCCAGATTCCCATAAGCCCTAGGCAGGTCAAGTTTATTTTTTTTATTCTGATACACCCCCAACTCCCCAGCAATTCGTGTTTTTTTCCATAACTCCCGTAGTTCTTAAAATTTCGAACTAAAATTAGGTAGCTAGATCCCGTGATTATGTGTCTGTATAACAAGTTTCATCATGATAGGTCAATTCTGAAGAAAGTTATAGCCATAAGTAAAATCGCTGCTCATGCGCTGCCTGCAGCTCTGTCGGCAGCGCTGTCCGCAGCTGTTCTTGTTGTTGCTGCTTTGGTTCAACTTTGTGCTGCATACATACACGCATATAAACACGCATAGGTACGTGATGTAAATGTATGCTGTTAAAACTGAACATAAACATGTATTCTAATTTAATTTAATTAATTAATTTTAATTAATTAATTCATTCTTTTTTTTAATAATTTATTTTTTTTAATTTTTATTTTTTTTATTTTTTCCTTTTTGTGGAGAGTACAGGCTATTTTACTGTCGGGCTTGCTCGACTGTAGCGTTCTATCTTGTTTTTAATGTTTTCTTTTTTTAATTTTCCTTTTTTTGTGGAGAGTACAGGCTATTTTACTGTCAGGCTTGCTCGACTGTAGCGTTCTCTCTTGTCTTAATTGGATTCTAGCGGTGATACCCTAGCTTAAATTGAATAAACTTGTGGTCCGAGAACGAATTTTCATGTAGGACCCTCTCCAATAAAGTGTAAAGATTTGTGGAGCCCCATCAAATACTAGGCCCCATTATACAAGGTGTGTTCCAAAGTAAACAGGACCTTAAAAAAAAAACAGAACGGAACAGAACAGAACAGAACAAATGGTTTTTTCGCAAAATCAATTTATTTTATTCAAAATAGTCTCCTTCTGCTCCAATACAGCTTTTTGCATGATCCAAAAGCATGTCGAACGAGTGTTTAACTCGTTGGCCGGTATGGTCGCCAGTATGCCGGTGCAAGCCTTTTGAATGGCATCTACGTCTGCATAACGATTTCCTTTCATTTTTCTTCCTTGCATTTTTCCGAAAAGGTAGAAGTCGCACGGTGCCATATCAGGTGAATAGGGCGAGTGGTTAATGGTTAAAATGTGATTTTTGGTCAAATAATTAGTTGCCAGTCAATTTGTGCGGAACAAACCGTGCACACACCTTTCGTAAGCCCAAATGTTCGGTCAAAATGCGATAAATCGATGTTTTGGAAATGTTCAATTCCATTTCCATCAATTTCAATGATGATTTCGGCTGATTTTTAATGAATTCACGCACAGTTTCGATGGAATTTTCGGTGATCACGAATTTTGATTGGCCCACATGTTGATCGTCATTTATGTCCTGACGACCACTTTGAAAACGTTGAAACCACTCGTGCACTCTGAAACGAAGTGATTATGATAAAGACGCCGGCGCTGCACTTATGTCGCTTAGGGCGCATAAGTCCGATCATGTTACGTCGTGCCTGAAATATGCTTAGGTCTCTAGTTTTTGTAACCACTGCAACAGATTGTTACAGTGAGTGTTAGTATAAATGCACTGCGTACAGTGTGTACTCTTTATGTGCGCATACTACAATAGGATTTTATCCGCGAGGAAATCAGGCGGACAACAATTCTCTATAGTTTTTTGTTACAGAGAGAGATAGAGAGAGAGAGATAGGGAGATATATATATATATATAGAGAGTGACGTCGAGAAGCTCCTGCTCCGTGTACAACCTCCTTAAAGCCTTCCAGTAAGCGGAGTCCATTGATACGCCATCACGCAGCTCCCCAGTGGGGTCATCTGCCTCGACGTCCAACTCATCTTAGCTGGGAGGCTCAATATTAACGGCGTTAGTGGTCAGGCAACACAACGCTTCAGCGCTTCGTATAAACGTTGAGCTTGACTTTATCGAGCCGTATTTGCACGATCTTTGCTGTGCAGATTTTATAAATTGCAGAAGATCCCTGAAACGAGCCATTCGCAGTAGTAAAAGGAACTGCTTTCTGGAGCTATGCGATTCGGCAGACCACGATCCATGGGGAAAGGCGTACAAATCAGTAGTGAAAAAAATGAACGCAGGTCGATACGATGTGCCTTCAACTCCAGACGCACTAGCAAAAATAGTCGGTGTACTATTCCCCTCTGGGCCGGTGACCGGAGAAGAGGAGGACAGCCCATTCCAGGAGACTACTGTGGTATCAGAATCAGAAGTACTTGCAGTAGCAAGCTCTCTAAAGGACAAGGCACCAGGCTCCGACGCAATCCCAAACCGGGCACTTAAGCTGGCACTTGCGTTGCATCCCAGCAGCACTTTTCGAAAATTGCATGAATTCAGGTGTTTTTCCGGACTGCTGGAAAGTCCAAAAGCTGTTATTGCTCCCGAAACCAGGTATACCACCTGGAGAAGCATCATCCTATAGACCGATCTGCCTGCTGAACACGGCGGGGCAAGTGCTAGAGAAGCTTCTCTGCACGAGACTGGAGGCAGCCCTAAGCACTGCTGGCGGACTATCCCCAAACCAATATGGATTCCGCAAGGCGCGTTCAACGATTGATGCCATCGGAAAAGTGCTCGAGATAGCCGCTAACGCTATTTCAGGGACGCGCTGGAAGGGTGGCACTAAGAAGTATTGCCTGGTGGTTACGCTGGACGTAAAAAATGCTTTTAACTCGGCCAACTGGATATCCATACTTAACGCACTTGGAGAACGAGGTATCCCCGCGTACCTCTACCAATGTATTCTAAGCTATTTTAGAAATAGGGTGCTAATGTATGAAACGTCGACTGGCACTAAGACGTATAAGGTCTCTGCAGGAGTGCCCCAAGGCTCTGTACTGGGGCCACTCCTGTGGAATACAATGTATAACGGCGTCCTGCGGCTAGAGCTACCAGCAGGTACAGAAGCGGTCGGATTTGCAGACGACGTCGCGATAGTAGCGGTTGCAAAGGATCTGGCAGCCGTCGAGGACAAATGCAACGTAGCCATCAGAAGAATTATAGCCTGGATGAGCATAGTGGGCCTAGAACTGGCACCACATAAATCGGAGGCCGTTTTAATAAGCAGCCGCAAAGTGGTGGAGGTAGCGCACGTCACCATCGGCAACCTGGTTTTGGCGTCCAAGCGTGCAATTATGTACTTGGGCGTCATGCTAGATACTAGGTTATCCTTCCGAGAGCACCTCGCCCATGCTGGAAAGAAAGCGTCCACGATGGCGCGATCTCTGGCGCGCATAATGCTAAACACTCGCGGTCCCAGGCAAGGAAGCAGACTTCTCCTAATGGGAGTCACACGGGCAATGATGCTATACGGATCTCCCGTTTGGGTTGAGGCCACAAAAACAAAGAGTTACATAAAGCCATTGGAAGTAACATATCGCCTTGGCGCTTTGCGCGTATGCAGCGCGTTCAGGACCGTGTCGGACGACGCAGCCCTGGTCATCGCGGGTATGGTGCCAATAGACCTGTTGGCAAACGAGGCCGCCACTCTTCATCGGAGCACGAGAGCAGATGGCACGAGCGCGACGGTGATGCCCTCACTGCGTAGGGCTTTACGCTCTAACGCGAGGCAGGAAAGTCTACGGGCAGATATTCAGGCTTGGGTCGGGCGGAAGTACGGTTTCGTCACTTTCCACCTCACGCAGATTTTAAGCGGCCATGGGTGCTTCCGTAGTTACCTGTTCCGCTTCGGACATGACGGCGGAGAAGAATGCAGGCGCGGGGTAATAGAGGACCCACATCACGTGACCTTTGTGTGCCCCAGGTTTGAGAGAGCAAGGAGTCACCTCAACAACTGGCTAGGTGAACCCGTGTCTCCATTGAATTTCATCAGCAACATGATAGCGGACGAGCAATTCTGGAATGCCTGCTGCAAGTTTGCAGCCACAGTCATGGGGGAGTTGCGCAGACTTGAGCGGGAACGACATCGAGGCGAGATGTAGTCAGGTCGACGCCCGGGCGAAGCAATGCTCCACGGCCGTACCGCCTGGGCGCGGGCTTATCTCAACCACTTATTCACAACTTTTTCCATACTCCTCTGCTCTACATCTAATATTACTTGTATATCCTTTTTTTCTTTTCTTTCTGTATTTACTCTCAATAAACGAATTAAAAAAAAAAAAAAAACATATACTCATAATTAATCTACACATATGTACAGAGTATTTCAAAGTCGGGACACCCTACTTTAGCTTCTCTACTTGTTTTTGTAGCTTTTTGATGTTGATGTGCACATAATTAATTCTTACGAGTGTCGGAGAAATGAAGGACCACAAGAGCAGAGATCCGTGTACTCGGGCTAAAATAATTAATCCGTGGGGTATCCCAGGCACCCCGCCTTTAGGCTTGCACAGCGTACATACATAAGTCATCTTTGTGCAAAATTTGGTGTCTGTAACTCTTACAGTCTTTGAAATCCAAGTATTCCTATGGGCAGACAAACAGACAGGGCTAGATAGACTCGTCTTGTCATGTAGAATATTTATACTTTGTTACATTTTTCAACTCCCGCAAACCTCTTGTACACTTCATTTATAGAGTATAAACAGCTTGAAGGCCTTCGTTGCTTTGTATATATGTCTATCTAAATTATTGATATACCTTTTAATCTAAGTTACAAATATAAATAAATAAAATACATTTAAAAGCATATTTAACATAATTATGTTCTTTATTTCAGTATTTTGCTGGGTCTTTGGCTTTTTTCATTTCCGGAAAGCCCAAAATTTCTATTAGAGCATGGGGAAACAGACAAAGCGCTGGATATTCTCGTTTGCATGTTTATACAGAACACTGGACGTAAACGTGATGACTACCCTGTAAGACAAGCAAAAACTCTAAATAAGCTAAGTATGCAAATTTGAAGTTCATAAAAACCAAATAATTTTTATTATTATTTTTTGCTCAAAAACTGAATATTAATTTTTTTATAATTATAGTTAATATTTATACTCTGTACATGAAATGTACAGAAGTATATTAGGTTTGCGGGAGCTGAAAAATGTAACAGACAGAAGGAGGCGTGGCAGACCCCACAAAATATATATTCTTGATCAGCATGACGAACCGAGTCGATCTAGCCCTGTCTGTCTGTCTGTCCGTCTGTCCGTATGTATGAACACCTGGATCTCAGAGACTATAAGAGATAAAGACACCAAATTTTGCACAAAGATGCCTTATATGTGTACGCTGTGCAAGTTTGTTTTATTTTATTATTATTATTTATTATTTTATTTTTTTGATTTTCCCCCACTTCCCCCTATGGGGGTTTTCCCGATTTTCCATTCGTATAATCGCCTATATCTCGGAGACTATAAGACATAGGAACACCAAATTTTAGTCCAGCCTTGTGTGAATACGCAGAAAATGTATATTTTGGAATTTCCCTCCCTCCCCCATCTCCCCAGCAAATGCGATTTTCTCTAACTCCCGTAATTCTTGGAATTTCGAACTAAAATTTTGCAAATACCCCCAGTTGGTCATTATGTGTCCGTATGCCAAGTTTCACTATGATAGACCGATTTAACAAGAAGTTATAGCCATAAATATATTTGCTGCTGCAGCGCTGCTCAAGCGCTGCCCAAGCGCTGCCCGCGGCTGTTGTTAATGCTGGTACTTTGGTTGACTGCGAACATGCTTACACAGACACGAATAGATGCGCATAGGCATACATACACTCACACAGACGCAATTGCTATGTAAATGTGCAATAATACACCATTTATGTGAGTTCGAATACCGAGAGAGGTAAAATCGATCAAAATTTTTTTTTTGTAATTTTCTTCATTTTTATACTCTGTACATGAAATGTACAGAAGTATATTAGGTTTGCGGGAGCTGAAAAATGTAACAGGCAGAAGGAGGCGTGGCAGACCCCACAAAGTATATACTATAATACATAGAGACACAAAATTTTGCACAAAGATGCCTTATGTGTGTACGCTGTGCAAGTTTGTTTTACTTTAGTCCAGGATGCCTTATGTAAATATGCAGAAAATGTGTATTTGGGAATTTCCCTCCACCCCCCCCCCCCCTTCCCCCCCCCCCCCTCTGCAACGCAAATCGTAACTTCCGTAATTCCCGTAATTTCGAACTCAAATTATGCAAATATCGCCAGTTAGAATTTATCAAGAAGTTATAGCCATAAATATATATCCTGCCAAAGCGCTGCAAGCAGCTGTTGTTGATGCTCGTGCTTTGGTTGACAGCAAACATGCTTACACAGACACAGACACAATTGCTTTGTATATGTGCAATAATACACCCTTTACGTGAGTTCGAATACCGAGAGAGGTAAAATCGACCAAATTTTTTTTTTTAATTTTCTTAATTTTTTAAATTTCTATAATTTTTGTAAACATATGTACAGAGTATTTCAAAGTCGGGACACCCGATTTTAGCTTTTTTACTTGTTTTAATTGTATTAGCTATGTTTGTGTTCGTCCTGTGTTTTGAATTTGAGACTGGAAAGGAGAATATCGTAATGCCACATGAGCCGAATCTTGGGGCGGCATCCAACTGCGTAATGAGATTAGCCAGAAAAATTCTACGCATCAAAACTACTGTCTTTGTTTAGACATTTTTTTTACCTCCATTGCTTTGCTAAAGTATTTGGCTGATGGTGGCGTTTTAGCCTTGGGAACAATCAGAAAAATCAAATTGCAAGCTACCGGATAACACAGGCTTTAAAAAACGTCCTCGAAGCGCTGCAGTTGACTTTGTTTAGAGCTATGATGGTGCAGACATAGCAATCACTATATGGTTATCACTATAAAATGGTTATGTTAGCGTCTCATAGCTGAAGTTTTGACAAAAATGGAGAATGTAGTCAAAACAGGGAATCGCAGTTCCACTATTCAAGGCGAGCTTAACAAGAAGATCAGAAGAGCATCTACCTAGAAAATTCCAACCCAAATTGTCAGCCAATATTTTCACCCCTTCAACAAGTTTGATGCAGAAATGCGGTTTTTGTAAAAATCATTTTAAAAAACAAAAAATTTCAAAAAACTAAAATACACGAATGGTTAAGAGTTGAGCCCACTCGACTTTAGCACTCCTTTTTTGTTTTTGATAATTTAGTTTTTCCGTAACGCCGTTCGTAGAATCATCTATATCATATCACAGAGACATTAAAAACTAGGTACAAAAAAATGTACAGGTAGTCCAAGATGTCTAATGCGAATACGCAGAAAATGTGTTTTTCAGAATTTCCTTCCTTCCCCCCTCTCCCCCGCAATAAGTTATTTTCTATAACTCCTGTTTGAATAGTTGCTTGCTATATAGCTCACAACTATTCTTTAACCAGATGTCGCAACCAACTTGCGAAACGCCTCTGGGACAACAAAAAGGAAACAAACTACTGCTTAAATTTCCAAATTCATTCTAGTTTATTTTATTAAATTACTTCACTATTTATACAATTTTTGACTTATGTACTAGTTTTTTCTTATATACTAATAATTTAATATTTGACTCTTTCTTATTTTCTCAAACATTTTACATTTTTTGTCTTATTCTATTCTAATCGTGTCAAGTGGATTTCCCCTCCATATGTACTTATTTGAAACCTTTCTTATCTAGTGCATTGCGCACCCACCCTTAAACACTGTCTTTTCATATGCATATGCCTACGATGCATTGGTCTGCAGCACTGCTGCATGCGGCTATTTTTAGGCCGAGATTCTGTTAACCTACCTACCGCTTGTTTCCCCATGCTATCTCCTGAGCTCTTGTTCACTTTTGTGAACAACTCCCACAAATCGTGGAATTTTTGATTCAAATTTCTCAAATACCTCCAATAAGTTAACATGTGTCCGGATGCCAATTTTTATTCTGATAGGTTTATTTGAAAGAAGTATATAACCTAGGAGGCGGAACATATAACAATAAATTGGTAGTTCCTGCAGAAACTTTTCTGGATATGAGCCCAATGTCGGAAGAGAAATAGCATATAGTAAATATATGTAATTTTAAGCTAAAATTCTTACCCCATCAAAGACGGGCAAGACCTTCGATGTACACCCTCACCTTTAAATTTCCAGTGTTATTTACAAAACCGCGAAACAACAAAGCCATAATGCAAGAGAAGAACACCGCGTTAATATGGTCCGAATTCGTTCTTCACAAACACAATAACAAGGAGAGGCACTATGGTTCCATTTTTATGGAGTATTGCCACGTAAATGTACGTGAATTGGATCGATACTATACGTCAAATGCGTTTTGGAAGCACTTAGCCAGCCAATAATTTAACACAAAATTAATTTATTCTGAAGCGGTAGGAAATTGCGGGCTTAGTCGGACAGAACCTGCTAGTCAATGTATAAATGTGCTTAAACTATTATTTAATACCAACATTTGTAAAACGCTAAGACATAGGAAAACGGCGTGATGAAATGTAAATTAAAACTTCTATGACAAGCGGAAAAACTAAGGAAATAATAGCTCTAAGTGAACAAAGCGACCAATATAATAATCACACAGTCCGGCCCACTAAGCATTTAAACTAACTCTTAACTATGCATGAAACTCCTCGATTATTTTACAACATGGGTAAAGAAAGAGATGAGTGTGAGTATGAAGGAGAATAAGGAAGCATCTCCAACACCATAAAGTATTAATAAGTAGGATAAGTCAAGACGCTCAATCCTTACTCTCGTTGACAGGAAGAGATATTTATGTTATTTACTTATACTTATTAATTTATAAGTAATCATATTTAATTGTTTTATTTTTCACTACATTCTAGTGTAAGAGTCTACGTGGCCCAGACCGTTCTAATAAGAAAAATGGCGAAAAGGGAATTCCTAACCTTCGATTTAGAAGACCGAATGAGTTAAAGATATTAATATCGGAAATTTGGACACAAACTAAAACGCTTTCCAAGAAACCTTACTTAAAAAATTCGTTTTTAACTTGCGGAATACAGTTTTGCCTAACAACAAGGTATGCCATGCAATTCTCAGTTTTTGGCTGAATTAAAACTGATACAAAGCAGAACTTACCATATTATAATAACTAACAGTTAAACAAAAAATTTGAAAAGCAACAATAAAAAAGTTTAACTTTTTCAATCTCTATTCCAATAGCTATTATACTCTGATGGTGTGGTTTCCAGAGCTTTTCCACCGATTTGATGATTACGAAAAAGCCAATCCGGGAATTTCTGCATCCGTTTGCGATGTTTCCTCCATTGTTATTACAAATTCGTAAGTAAAACTATTCACGGACAGCGCTTAAATTTCCACGTTTAATCTTCAATAAAATTTTTAGAACTCTTTCAGGTTGCGACTCAAAAATTAATAGCCAAGTTTTTTTGCACACAATCATTATTGGAATAGCATGCATACCAACAAGCTTTTGGCTTCCTCTTTGTGTACATCATTTGGGAATTAAATTTTTTTTGGGTATGTGTATTAATACAAGGAACAATAAAACTGTCTTACAACGTAAAATTAATAGTTTTCAGTCTAACCGTAGCTGGTTTCATAACATTTGGTCTTTACTTTGTACGAACCTCCTTAGAGAATCTAATACTGTCATGCATTTTTGAGGCACTGACTTCTCTTAGTATCAGCACTGTTTACTGCGTTATGGTTGATCTATTCCCCACCAATTTAAGGTTCGGAATATGAATTGACTGTTACAGTCTACAAATGAAATACAATATTTTTATTTTAATTTTAGAGTAATGGCGGCGGCGATGTCAATGACGTTTGGAAGAGGAGGAGCTTTGCTGGGCAACCTTATATTCGGATTCCTAATTGATTTGAATTGCATAATTCCTATCACTGTTTTTTCGGCTATGCTATTCGGTAATTCAATATATGTCTTAATTCAACTAAAAGCGATAACCAATAGTTATTAAAAATCTTCCTTTTTGTATAGTTAGTGCGTTTTTGTGCTGGTTGTTACCCACTACTGGTACGCAGGCTCTGGACTAAGTTTAAAAGTGAAAAAGTTGATTGTTTCAAATAAAACCGGACTTGTTGTTAGTGAACGTAGTTGTTAGTGAATGAAGGCTTAATAAGTATAAAATTGAGCTTTAATTATTATGTAAATTTTTATATTATTACCAAGTATGTGAAGAAAATGTTTCAAAATAAATACAATTGTAATAACTTGCCTCATCAAAAAAATCAAATTGGATTCAAAATGGCAATTCCTTTTGCGTTTTGTCTAATATTTGCAACGCAAAGAGTGAGGCTTGGCAGACCCCATATTACTCGTATGTTACGCGTGTAGTACTTATACAAAGTGCGGCAACTTAGTCTGAAATCAATGGGATGAATAATACATTTTTATACCCTGTACATGAAATGTAATAGGTTTGCGGGAGGTGAAAAATATAACAGGCAGAATATAGACACCAAATTCCCCCACTTTCCCCCCAATGAAGGATTTTTGAAAACGCAGTTCGTATTATCACGTATATCTCGGAGGCTATGAGACCTAGGGATAGCAAATTTTATTCAAAGATGCCTTATATGAATACGCAGAAAATGTGTGATTCAGAATTCTCCTCCATTCCCCTTTTCCGGACAATTCATGATTATACTCTGTACATGAAATGTACAAGAGTATATTAGGTTTGCGGGAGCTGAAAAATGTAACAGGCAGAAGGAGGCGTGGTAGACCCCACAAAGTATATATATTCTTGATCAGCATGACAAGACGAGTCGATTTAGCCCTGTCTGTCTGTCTGTCCGTCTATCCGTCCGTATGATCACCTAGATCTCAGAGACTATAAGAGCTAGAGACACCAAATTTTGCACAAAGATGCCTTATGTGTGTACGCTATACGAGTTTGTTTTATTTTTGTGATTTTCCCCCCCACTTCCCCCCTATGGGAGTTTTCCGGATTTTCCATTCGTATAATCGCCTATATCTCGGAGACTATAAGACCTAGGAACACCAAATTTTAGTCCATATTTTGGAATTTCCCTCTCTCCCCCCTCTCCGCCGCAAATGCGATTTTCTCTAACTCCCGTAATTCTTGGAATTTCGAACTAAAATTTTGCAAATACCCCCAGTTGGTTATTATGTATCCGTGTGTTTCACTGTGATAGACCGATTTAACAAGAAGTTATAGCCATAAATATATTTGCTGCTGCAGCGCTGCTGCAGCGCTGCCCACGGCTGTTGTTGATGTTGCTGTTTAGTTGGCTGCGAAAATGCTTACACAGACACAAATAGACGCACATAAACATACATACACTCACATATACGCAATTGCTTTGAATATGTGCAATTATATACCCTTTACGTGAGTTCGAATACCGAGAAAGGTAAAATCGATCAAATTTTTTTAAATTTCCTTATTATACTCTGTACATGAAATGTTCAAGAGTATATTAGGTTTGCGGGAGCTGAAAAATGTAACAGGCAGAAGGAGGCGTGGCAGACCCCACAAAGTATATATATTCTTGATCAGCATGACGAGACGAGTCGATCTAGCCCTGTCTGTCTGTCTGTCCGTCTGTCCGTCCGTATGAACACCTGGATCTCAGAGACTATAAGAGCTAGAGACACCAAATTTTGCACGAAGATGCGTTATGTGTGTATTCTATACGAGTTTGTTTTATTTTTTTGATTTTCCCCCCCACTTCCCCCCTATGGGGGTTTTCCCGATTTTCCATTCGTATAATCGCCTATATCTCGGAGACTATAAGACCTAGGAACACCAAATTTTAGTCCCAGATGCCTTATGTGAATACGCAGAAAATGTATATTTTGGAATTCCCCTCCCTCCCCCCTCTACCCCGCAAATCGTAACTCCCGTAATTCTTGGAATTTCGAACTAAAATTTTGGAAATACCCCCAGTTAGTTATTATGTGTCCGTATGCCAAATTTCATTATGATAGACCGATTTAACAAGAAGTTATAGCCATAAATATATTTGCTGCTGCAGCGCTGCTGCAGCGCTGCCCACGGCTGTTGTTGATGTTGCTGTTTGGTTGACTGCGAAAATGCTTACACAGACACGAATTGATGCGCATAGGCATACATACACTCACACAGACGCAATTGCTATGTAAATGTGCAATTATACACCCTTTACGTGAGTTCGAATACCGAGAGAGGTAAAATCGATCAAATTTTTTTTTTTATTTTCTTAATTTTTTTTATTTTCTATAATTATTGTAAACATATGTACAGAGTATTTCAAAGTCGGGACACCCGACTTTAGCTTTTTTACTTGTTTTCCATAGCTTCTGTTGGAACATTGTCAAGTAAGGGTTAACAGCTGGTATGTATAACAGCTGATTAATTTAAACATTGTAACTAGCTTTTATGTCATGCTCACTTTACTGTATTAAAGCAACTTAAACAGATAAGAAGTTTACGCTCTCTTATTGATCTGTCTTGGATTTTTGAAGCCACGTGGATCTTCCACATACGAAATCATTATAAAATATATTATATTATGTTGTTGTTGCTGCTTCGGTTCAACATTGTTATGCATGCTCACACAGACATGCAAAGGCACGCATACTTGTAGACCTGAATGCACTCACATATACACAATTTCTATGTAATTGTCTAATTATACACTCTTAACGTGAGTTCCAATCTCAAGGGAGTTAAATTTTTTTTTTAATTTTCTTAATATTTATAATAGTTTTAGACTTATGTTGAGAGTATTTCCATGTCGGGACTTCTGACCTTAGCTTTTCTACTTGTTTTAATTCTATAATTATTCTACACATATGTACAACTAGCAGGTATTGCCCGTCTTAACCCGGCTCAATATAATGTTTCCAATTGTATTTATTTTGTGTGTGCATAACCTACCCATATGTTTTCACCTTATAAGTTACCAGTAGGAAGGCATTTAAGGTATTTAAATGAACATATTCTGTTCTTGACAAATAATTGTTCAGTAGTCCGTTACATTTTTGTTCTTGCCAAACTATTTCGTTAAACGAACATGACCACAATAACTAATATTTTTTAAAGCTCGTTTTCCCCCCTTTGGAGCTAGAATTTTCCAAAAGCCTTTCTTAGTGTGCTCCTACACTATGATGGATACTATGAAAGGATACTTGAGTCCAAATTTCATCTTTTACCGTTTGGGCTGTGCGTTGATCACCAATTAGTCAGGACAAACTGTTTTATATATAGAGATAACGCAACGTTTTAAGATAATATCCTAATTTTAAATTCACATTTGAGCCTTTTCGTGCCATATTGAGTCAATACGGTCACGCACAACCTCGGAATATGAAACACGGCACTCGTGTCAATGCCGTGCCGCGATGAGCCACGATCAAAAAGCACTGACAATTCTCATCTCAATTTGCTAGAGTAAAACTTTCGATAGTTGAAGCCACCGATACAATCAAAATATCGAAGTTTGAATGCAATAAGCAGAATATTTAAATAATAAAATCTAATTATTTATTGAGATCAATAAGAACAAATCATATACATACATACATACATCTGCCCGCAATGCGAAGCAGAATATACGTAGCTCCGTTATTCGGTTTCTGCTTTACTATCGCTAACGCAGTCGTTGCCGTTTGCCTTTGCGATTAACATTAAATGGTCAAAACGAAAGAAGAACAGCGAGCCAATGATTTGCAGTTGTTGTTGTTTTTAAAGCATTATTTTTTTTACAATACGAATGCGAATGAATGCATATGTATGTTTCTCTTTACTTTTTCAACCGTACATAGAGAACCGCACACATAAACACGAACTGTTGCTTGTTGTGTGTGTGAGTGTGTGTATGTTATGTCCCCAATTATTTGATATTTGTTGTTGCTGCATAAAGCTATTAATGAAAACCCTAATGCCAAATGCACTAAACAAAGAAAAAATTACTTTTAAAAATGTTATATAATTTTCAATTAATTAACATTTCTTGCTCTGTCAGTGCAAGACGAATGTACAAACATACACATGTAGATACATATGTACATACATAAATGTGCACATATGTATGGACATTCACACATTAGTGTCTCACATGTTGCTTTGGCTATTTCAATCGATTGCACGCAACTACACGAACAGCTGTTTGTATGTGTGTATATGTATACTTAGTTGTCCCCAACTGTTTGATATTTTGTATTGTTTCTCCTGCCTGCTTTTGTAAAATGCATATTTTGAAAATCCTTGAATGCAAAGTTGTAGATTTAGTTACGTAGATTACATTATCCAAATTTTAAATCGATCGGACTAAATTTATAACAAAAACTTTTCATTTGAAATAGTGAATAAATATTAAAACCCCAATAATTCAAGCTCCAACAAAAAATTTAAAAAACCGAGTATGCAGTTAGTTTTCTTTTTGCATTCTTTAATTGATTTTAGAAACTAAGTTTTAAGTCGATCGGTTGAAAAATGCGGATTTTTCAAACAAACTTTGGAGCTAATTTTCACCCCTTTGGAGCTCGAATTTTCCAAAATCCCTTCTTAGTGCTCATCTACACCATGATAGGATACTTGAGCCCAAATTTCAGCATCCTAGCTTTTACCGTGTGGGCTGTGGGCTGTTGACGCGGTTTGCTTTTGTGCCCCAACATTTTTTTTACAGGAAAACTCCCATATTTTAGGCCCCAAAAAAAATATCAAAAAACCAAGTATACAGTTTTTCTTGGAATTGGAATTGGAGTATACAAACTAAGTTTAAAGTTAATCAGATTTTTCATACAAACGTTGGAGCCTGTTTTCCCCCCTTTGGAGCTCGAGTTTTCCAAAATCCCTTCTTAGTGCTCATCTACACCATGATAGGATACTTGAGTCCAAATTTCAGCTTCCTAGCCTTTACCGTTTGGGCTGTGCGTTGATCACCAATCATTCAGTCAGTCAGTCAGTCAGGACAAACTGTTTTATATATATAGAAGTATAGAGAGAGAGGCTGTTGAGTGCAATCGACGTGATTTATCTGTGCTCCGCAAATTGAAATATTTTTTTGCGTCTACTCCGAGAATTTAAGCATTAAATTGTGTTTAATCTCTAGTTAAATAATATTGTGCTTTGTGCAAGAAGTTGTGCATCTATTGCTTCCAATTATTTGAGTAAATTAATAGTTAAAACAATAATAGTATTTGTTGTTTGTGCATTTATTTTGCCTATTTTGCTTTGGTGCCCGACAGCTGTTTTAAAGCA